CAACCAGTAGGCTACCCACACCCCTGGCTGGTGGCTCCCTCCTCCATCTCCAGACCCTGGAGGACCATCTCCCTTCATAAGCCTTGCGGTGAGGCTCCTCAGGAACTTCCAGAAGGTAAAGGGCAATCCATCCCTCTCCCCGTCACTCATCCTCAAAGGCTCTTGGCTAGGACATAGTGACAGATTCCAAGAACTAGGGTGAGGACCTTGATGGGGGCAGAGGAGATCAACACGCTGACCACATGGCATTTCACCCTCATTTTATGGTTACCTAGGATTTGGAAGAAGGAGAAAGGCTGGGTTGGTCTTGTCGACCTCTGTTCTTGAGTTTGCTCATGGAAAAAAAAAAACAGGAAGAGAAGGGTGTGGGATAAGGCTGCCTTCCAAGCCTCACCTCTGACCGGAATGGCTGCGTGGTGAGGCCAGTTGTGGTTCTGTCTTACCAGCTTATGTGTGTTCTGCCCCAGACAGAGACTGCTACATTGATCGTTACTGGTCGAGCAAATTGTGAATTGCTGAATGCATGATGGAGTCAGGGCAATGTTTGAAAAGAGTTCCGGGTTGTCTCCTGGCTTTTGTGGTCATTGAGTTTTTCCTGGCAAAGAGAAGCTTTTGGCTCAGGGTACAGACAGTCTGGAATCTTGTGACAATAGGACATTCTGTGGGTGGGGGCGAGGTTTGCCCTTGGCTCCTTTCATCCCTTGCGTTTGTCCTTCTGCACGCCCTGCAATCCGGAACTGGGGGTGGGGCGCTCTGTTGGGTTGATGGGTGGCCTCCTCGTTGGGGCAGCTGCTGGATGCAGAAGTGGCTCACTGTGGCCCTGATCTGTTTGTCCCTAACATTCCCCGATGCTCACCCAGCCAGAGGCAAGTCTTGGCCTTTGCACGCCTAGAAGAACACTTGACCCAGTGAGAACATAAGATCTGCTTATGCTGCAGAAAGAGCCGCAGAATAGAAAACAGAGAGGCTGCTTTGTGCTTGGGAGAAAATCGCATAAAGTAACTGCAGGTGCCAGCAGGTAGGCACCAGCACCCGAGCTGTTGAGAGCTCAGCCCGCATTTGTAGAGGCTGTGCCCGTTAGTCCAACGTGTGGCATCTACTTGGCAGAGAAGCTGGCCTTGTAAACTGACACGTGGAAACCTCTGGTTGGTGCTTATTTGCCTTCCTTTAAGGAAACAAACTAATTTGATTAACGGAGCCAATAGGTGACAGAAGGAGGAGAGAGTTTATATTAACGTAAAGAGGGTAGAGGGTGTTCGTTTTGCTTCGGATCCTTGAAATTCAGACTATCAGTCTTTATTGTTTTTTGCCTTGTGACGTCAGACAAGTACTGTCCCTCTTTCCAGTGTGTAACTCTTGTTTTTTGTCAGTGGTTTTAAAAGTGGCACCCACCTGGGATGTATTTAATCGTTTAGTTAATAGGTTGCAAAGAATTGGCTTTTTAAACAACAAAAAAAGTTGTATTTAATTAATCAGCCCTTAAGTTAATCTCTAAAGAGATCAGGGAGAGAAATAATGGGTTATCTGAAAGGGTCCTCATGGTAAAATACCTTGTGCCAGCTGTCGGAAGGGACATAAAGACCTGCTGTTCTGGGGGTGCAAAGATTTGCATGTTATGGGCACGACAGCAGTTCTTTCTGCCAGGCTGAACAGATGCAAAAGAACACCTTCCCCCCTCTTTCTGCAAAAAGGCAGAAGATAGTTTCGCCAAAAGCAATTTTTAAAATGACAGTGAACTCAAGAAAGGCAAATGCCCATGTCAGCAACAAGGAGGGAGAGGCCTGAGGTGGGAGGGGTGAGTCACCCAGACCGGGGCTACAGGACAGCAGGTGCAGGCTGCGGATGGTCTCCCGGGGCGGCAGGGCTGGGAAGTAACCCCCAGGGGAAGCTTAGCTCTGGGAAGGTTCCCTCCACACAGCCGGCCAGCCAGCCTCCCGCAGCGGCCAGAAGCACCAGCGGCCAGGGGAGCTTGGCTCCTGCCTGCAGCTGCAGGCGAGCCACTGCCTGCCTCACAACGGCAGCTCGCACCACTGTACCAGCTCCGAGCAACACGGGCAGGTGGCCGCTACGCTGGGTGCCACGGCCTGGTGCGCACGGGGCTCCTTGGAAAACAGTCCCTTTTAATGACAGAAATGACGAGAACAAGCACCGTAGCACAAGAGAAGGGGGGAGCAGAAGGAGGAGTAGGCAGGTTTGGAAAAAGAATCAAATCGAAATTCTCAAGTGGGAAATAGCACCGAACTGTGGGACACTATTGTGTTGGTTGAATGTTGTGCTAGAATGGTTTGTATTTAGTCTGGTTTCGGGACATTGTTCTCTTAACCAGAGACGATGCTCTTCAGCCCCTAGTTTGAAAAAATACCCGCTAGCTGGGCCTGAGTGTAAAGCTCGCAGACGGAAGCTGGGGTGCGACCGGGCTGTGAGTTTTCACAAAGGAGCGGCCCCTGGGCTGTGAGTGCCGGCCCGTGGGCAGTGGGCTTTGTCTGATCTGCTCTTCTGCTTACGTGGAGGCTTTCGCTCTGCTTCTCTAGTGCCGGCGGATGCTTCCTGACCCCCGTAAAGCACTTACCCCCTCTGCTCTCTCCACACCCTCTCCTGCCCACGTCGCTTTACACATGGCTGAGTGGAGGGTTTGTGTGAGCTGATCGGCCCGCAGTGACTGACCCATTTTCCAGTCTCCGCTGACCTAGACGCTCCAACCCTACTCGCACTGGCCTAGATTTCACAAAATATATTTTGCAGCAACTTTCCCTTTTTTGAAGTCTTTGAAAGAAATATCTTTCTCACTGCCAAATTATATGATAACACAGTGGACTAAAATGTTGATGTTTGATTATTGGTCTTTTAATGTATGACTAGCTTTTTGCCTCTTGTTTGTGAATCAGTAGGAACTTTCTTGTCACTTTGCTAGTTAGTCTTTGCTTCAGGTACAGACTAGCCCTTGCCACTGTTCAATTATCTGAGGTTTGGGCATTCTGTCTTTGTTTTTTAAACACATCCTCCTTTAAATAATTTAAAAATAAAATGTCTCCCAAGGGACTGTGGTGGAGAGAGAACTACCACCACAAATACTGTCCAGAGAGAAACAACAGTGTAAGAAGGTAAAGTAAAATAAAGTGTCTCTGTAAAGCCATTTATGAAAGACAAAACACTCGGTGTCAGCACTTCCCACAGGGCCTCCCTTCTCTCCAGCTCAGAGTCCGGCATCTGTGCTCCCAGCAATCTGGGACCCTCTGTGTTGGGAAACTGACTGTGTGAGTGTAGTTTTTATTCTTTCTTGATTCTGAGCTCCTTCGGGGCTCTTTCTCTTTTTATCACTCTTCAGCACGCAGTGCCTTTGTGTTTGTGAAAGAAATGAATAAATGCTTAAAATAACCAGTTATTTGGTGTTTTATTTATTTATTTATTTTTTGCATTTTGTTTAAATAATTGTTTAGTCTTGTCTCTACTTTTTTCTTTCCTACTTTCTCTCTTTTTAAAGATTATTTATGCATACAAGAGCTGGGGTGTAGGTCAGAGGTAGGTGGTGGGAGAGAATTCACCAGAAACAGAGTAGGGAGCAGAACAGGTGGACCAATGGAAACACACTGCTGAGAGGAGCAGCGGGCCGGTCAGGAGAGGTCTGCCGTGCCATGTGGGTCAGCTCCCTGGCTGGGGATCAAACTCATACTGCAGTGGCTACAGACAGCCTCATAGTGCGGAGACACAACCACTTCATTACGCCTCAGTGGCCTTCAAGAGACTTTGCCTAGCCCCAGTTCAGATACTTTTGAGCTTGGACTAAAGCTGTAAGCATATAGTCATTAAAATTAGAACATCTAGGTACCTGTTAACATGTTTAAGAGCTAAGCAATGTACAGAAGTAATGAAGAGCTGAACCAGGGACAATAACAAGGTACAGGATAATTGGAGGAGTCTAGTTATTGTTAATGAACATCTCTTTACTCCGTCATAGGGTGTGGGGGTAAATTGAACAGAAAACTCCCTCAGACAAGTATGTATTTCCTCTTCCTCTTTCTGCTGTGCTATAAGGGAAATTTTACATCCTCTTCTTGAGTGTAGAGACTAGAGGATGCTGAATAAACAAGGACAGATCATATACCCCTATATACCGCTATTAAATTGCAGATGGAAGAAAGTAGAATTTGTAAGTAAAGAGAAATTAAAACTAAGTTGAAAGTCTTCATAGGACTGAGGTGATAACTCAAACTGAAGTTGGAACTAAACATGGTCAATAAAAGAAACTTTTCAGCGGAAATAGGAGAGGGTTCTCAAAGACTAGCTACATCTTTTGTGGAAACTTGAGATGCATTCTCAGAGGTTATTAGCTTAATATTCTCAAGACACACTTTGGCTTTCATGTACCTTCTGGTCTATTTGAAATAAGGCTCAGCATATTAATTCTCCCCCCCCTTTCTTTTTCCTGCAAAGCCTCTTTCCCCAAAGATAAGTTCATTAATGGTAAATCATTTTCAAGAACAGAAATTTCAAAAGCGCTTTGGCTATATTGTTATATTGGGAATCTTTCCCCCCTGACAGTCACCCGCTTTTGTAACTGCTGTGATTGACCACTGGGTTGTGTTTCATTTTTAATACCAGCATTTGCCTGTTTGAAATATTCATTGCAAGCCAGTATAAATTTTCCCCCGTATTTTATTTGAAATGCGATAGGAATTTAGTGTTCCTTTTTGTACAGCCGCCATGAAAACTATGCACATAAAATATTCACAACAATTTCTTGCACAGTGCAGAGTAAAAAAAAAATCACAGAATTGAATATAATTGGGAATGAAAGAAGTTAAAAGCATTTGAACTCTTGCTAGGAGAAAAGGTCATAGTAAATGACAGAATCACCGCAACTTACTTTGTTTCGTTGTTGTAGGTTAGTTTTACTTTTAAAGCACATGGTGAAATTCCTCTGTGAACATACTTGGCTGAAGTTATACCAGTCACTTTTTGACTGAGTCACCTAAATGACCACCCTTCTTTCCCCATACCAGGTTGTTGGTGTGGCCCAAGCAATCAATAAGAAATCCGGGAACGGTGGGACTTTCACTGAAAAAGATGAGAAGGTACCCAAGTGTGTGTGTGTGTGTGAGTGTGTGTGTGTGTGTGTGTGTGTGTGTGTGTGTGTGTGTGTGTGTGAGATAAGCGCATCTGGGTCACTGCTAGTCTCTAGAGTGTGCAGTCTTGCAGAATTAATTGTTGCAAAAACCGTTGAGCTGAAAAATTATATTTTGTTTAAAACGAGCTGAGTGATTAAAAAATGACACTTTGCTAGGGTTGAATCCAGAACTGGCTTCCCCTGGAGTCAGCGTGGGATGGGGGGGCAGGAAGCCCTGCCCCGCCCCCCTCAGCTCACCCTGAAAGCCCTTCCTGGTGCGAGGCCTCCACACCGAGTAGCCATCTGTTGGAAAGGTGTCATTTACCTTTCAGCACTGCTCTAAAGAAATAGCACCTGGCCCGAAAGCTTGCTCCAACCTCAGGAGTTGGCTGAAAACTGAAACTGCTTCCTTGTGAAGCAGATTTCAGTGTTTTCTAAGCTGCGCACGCAGACAGTGCGGGTGGCAGGTGAGTGCAGGCCGGCTGATGGGAGTGCAGCCTGGGGGTGGGGGGACGCTGCTCCCCCTCCTCTCAGCCCTGGAAGCACCTCGTGGACATGCCTTGTTTGCATTTAAGGATGGGAGCCCTTCCGTTTGTTTACAGCTGCATTCTGCCAGCTTTATGATTTATCAAACTGAATATGTAATTATTTGTATAGCGAGGGGCCCACTGGTTTTCTGCTGCCCATGTACATGGCTATTTGTGTCGCTTCCCTGAAAATGAGTAGATGCTTTCAAATTGAAACCACTCCAGCAAGATAGTGATTGTTCTCTCCACCCCAAATGCTGGATTGGTGCCATGTTTTACCAGAGCTGTGGACATCAGGTGTCCTGATGATGGCACCCAAGAATGCGTGGTGGGGCATGTTCTGCTGTGGAATACGTGATTGAAAGAGTGACCGTTCTAGGCCGCGCTAGCTCTTGGCACATAAATCCATGACAGTGATAAAGTGTACCATGTAAAGATTGATTTTAATTGATAATCATGACTATATCACCTTGCTGTAGAATAATAAGGATGGCAGACTCTAAAAGCACATCCTGAAACCCTTCTTGGTTTTAGGCTGGGTAAATGCCCATGACTTTGGCCTTCTAATATTTATTTATACTGTAAATGTTTTTAATGTCTTTTGTGACTCTGGTAATGTAAGAAGGCATTTTGCAGACAGTTCTTATTTGGCTGTTTCCTAGGATTTTGCTGCTTATTTGGCATTTTGTGGTATTGTTCTCCATAATGCTCAACTCTACGAGACGTCACTGCTGGAGAACAAGAGAAATCAGGTAAGAATTACGATAAAAAGTACCTAGGAGTTCTTTATTTTTTTTTTTTCATTCTGAATTTTTACCCGACTAATGGGCATATGATGGACAAGTCAGATAGTAGAAATTTGCTCGCGAATCATTTTGCCTGCTATAATAGTTATTTTCATAACCTATTTTCTATACTCTGTTGCTTTGTCATTGTTACGCAGTTCACTTGTCAGGCAAGAATTTATTTTACCCACACCACTTCTGCCATTACCCTTATCTACAGTATCTTGGTGTGCTGATGGATTGCAACTGTAATGTAATTGTAATGTAAATAAGGCTTTCAGGTCTCCTTCTGTCAATTAGAGGCTTCCATTCTCTCCGGATTTCAGGCTTTCTGAGATGAGCATCTTGGCATACCTCCTCTCTTTCTAACCTCTCCTTTTCACATTTCTCTGCCCTATTTCTGGCTCTAAATTCCAGCCTGTTCTTAATTGCAATGCCATATTACCACTTTGTAGTATAGGTTGATGTCTGGGAGCATGATCTTTTATATATCTTGTCTTTCCTCTGCTTTGGCATTTTAGGGGACTTTGGCTCTGCCATATCAACTTTAGTAATGTTTGTTTTAAATCTTGGAAAATTTCCTTTGAAATTTTGATAGGGATTTGCATTGAATCTGTTTATTACTTTGGATATGCTGACCATTTTAACAGTGTTAGTTCTTTCAACCCAGGAATAGGGAGTATACCTTCCCATTTCTTTGTCTCTTCTTTCTTTGAACAGTGTTTCAGTTTCATTGCATAGGTCACGCACCTCTTTTGTTGAGCTTATTCCTAGGTACCCAATACTTTTTGATCCAATTGTAAATGGCATTATTTTCTTGAATTCTTTTTCTTCTAGTTTGATGATAGGAATGTATTGACATTTATAAATTAATATTTGTGACCTGCCAGTTTACTGATTTATTGCTTCCATTAATTTTTTTTAACTCAGTGTTTGGGTTTTCTATGTCTATTATGTCATCTGCAAATAGTGATAATTTTACTGCTTCTTTCCTAATTTAAACACCTTACACAATTTTTGTTTTGCCTGGCTGCTCTGTTAGGACTTCAGGTACTATGTTTAATAGCAGTGGTGGGAATGGACATCCTTAATCTTAACAGGGAAATCTTCAGTTTCTCACCATTTTGTATAATGGTAACTGTGCGTCTGGCATATCTGGTCTTTATTATGTTTAGATGTGTTTCTTCCTATTTTTTGAGAATTTTTATCATAAAAAGATGGGCATTGAATCTTCTCAGATGTGTTCTCTGCATTTATTGATGTCGTAGATTTTTACCTTTCATTATTAGGATGAATTGATAAACTTTTCTGATGTTGAACCTTGCACCTTGGCATAAATTTCACCTGGTAATGGTATGTGATCCTTTTAATGCATTATTGAATTTGATTTGCTAAAATTTTGTTGAGGTATTTTGCATCTGTGTTCATCAGGGATTTTTGCCCTATCCGCTTTTCCGTGATGTTTGTGCTTTTGGTTTCAAGGTAGTGCTGGACTCATACAGTACCTTCAGAAGCATTCCCTTTCTTAGATTTTTGGAAGACTTTGAGAATTCAGCTTTAAATATTGGTAGAACTCACTAGTGAAACTGTCTCTTCTTGGGCTTTTGATTTTTGGTAGAAATTGATTACTGTTTCATTTTCTTTGCTTTTAAATTGGTCTGTTCAGGTTTTCTACTTTATTCTGATTGTGTCTTAGAAAGTTATATTTCTAAGATTTTTTTATTGACTTATAGATATGCATAGTCATCTCATGATTTCTTTAATTCTGCAGTAACTTCTCCTTCATTTCTACTGATGTGTATTACCTAGACTCTAGTATCCCAAGGTTAAAGGTTAGGTTATTTGAGCTCTGTTTCTTCATGCAGGGCTGTATTGCTATATATGTCTTCTCCCTTACTGCTTTAGCTGAATCCCAATGGTTTAAGACTTCAAGTCTTCATTTTCATTGATCTCCAGCTATTACTTAATTTCTTCTTTGATTTCCTCACTAACTGATTAGACATGCAGTCGTAGGTAGCTCCTGTCCCTTACATGCAATGCTCACCATGCTCTGTACTTGTGCTTCTTTTAATCCGGTGACTTAAATTTCTTTAGTTTTTATCAGTTTATCATTATTTCTTTGATCAGCTTCCCTTGCCTCTGTTTTTTTTTTAAGAATTTGTTTGTAAGTTATTAGAGAGCCCATTGCCTGTGAGACATTGTCCAGACTCGTGCACTGTTCTCAGCTCACATTGACCCTGTCCTGAGCATGCCTTCGATCTTGTCCCTTTATTCCTGTGCCTCATCACTGTGCCAACTGCTTCAGAAGACATACAAGGCTTTTTGTTCTGTATACATCTACAATCTCATCTCCCCAGCTCTTTGCTTTACATTCTGGTCAATGTAGGCTACTTTCTCTCAACTAAATTCTTGTACACTAACATATTTCCCTTTCCACGCAACCAGATTGAATCCTATAGGTTTTTAAGATCAAAGATAGAATAGTAACACCTCTAGTGTAAATTTCTGAAATACCTTTCCTCACCCCTCATCACCTAAAGGCTTTGTAAGACTAGAAGAGATGCTTTAGGACTTAGTGGAAAGAGAAAGAAATAGAAGAAAGAGAAAAAAAAAAAACCCACAAAGGAACTTTTAAAGAAACTCCCGAAGCTTTCTTTACTTTGGATAGTATCTTTTGTGCTCTGTGAAAATGGTGATGACACTGATAAACTTGGTCTCTGAAGTTTGGAACATTAGCAGAAACAGTGCATTTTACGAATGCTTTATAAACATGAACTTGTTTAGTCCTCACAATCGCCCACTGATTTGGGTGCTACTCTTGGTCCCATTTTAAAGAAACTTGTCCTAGGTCACCTAGCAGGAAGGGGAACATGGTTAAGAAATGATGACTCTGGCCTTAGGATCTGTGACTGTAAGCATTGTATTGACAATCACAGGGTGTTTTGTTAGTAAGCAGAGACACATACATGACATTCTTGAATATAAAGTTCATAGGTATAGATAAGTGAGTTATAACTGATAATCACCTCAATGCTTTAGTAATTACAATTACAAAGTAACAGGTCTTAAAATTTTTGTCTAGGTGCTGCTTGACCTTGCTAGCTTAATTTTTGAAGAACAGCAATCATTAGAAGTGATTCTAAAGAAAATAGCTGCCACTATTATCTCATTCATGCAGGTGCAAAAATGCACCATCTTCATCGTGGATGAAGACTGCTCCGTGAGTACAGAGTATGATTTATTTCTTTTCAGAAAGGCAACCGTTAATTCCTTGCAGCTCAGTTTTAACCTTCTCACAGACCCAGCTGGGTGTGGTAGTTCATGAAAAGCCGGTCAGAGTATGAGCAATGCCGATGGAAGAGGGGCAGAGGTGAGGAGAGAGATGCTGCGGGCGCTTCCTGTCTGCCACTTTTGTGCCCTCTGCCAAGTCGTCACCATAGCCAAGTCCCTGTGCTACACTACCAGGAGGGAGAGATACATCATCATATTCAAACACAAGAATTTCCTTTTATCAGGAATTGTTTGGAGACCAAAAGGAATGACCCAATAAAGATAGTATTACTAAAGTTTCCCTGGATGTCATTAAAACCTTTACTGGTAGTATAAAATGACTAAGCTAATCTGCTAGTAGACTTCCATCCACTCACTTGCAACATAAGGGGCCGTGTCAGTGAGGAAGGGTGGTTGTTCCCATGGAAGGCTGGCCGCTGCTACACAGCCCATCCGAGCTTGCTGGTGAGATCCGGACTCTGGCCTAAAGCCCTGTTTATTTCAGCGGTTCCTCTCTTTCTCAGCCTGGGAACCACTGCTTCTTGGGATACTGGTCAATTACTTATTCTTTTTCTTTTAGACCCTGACAATAATAGGTCCTTACTTGGTGGGTCAGCCACGAGTGTAGAGATGACTGCTTGTGCCTAGGTCAATTCCAGCTCATACATGAGATCTGAATTGATGCCTTCTAGGAAGTAGATTCATAGAAGATACTTAGTACTAAACTATACATTAAACATTTAAAAATTGTTTTAGATAGTAATATTGTATCATGTGACTCAGCATTATCTGACAAAATTTTGTATATGTCACTGTCTCCTAACAGTGAATGTGAATTCTTGATGCTGTAGGATAATCAGTATTCCATAGATCTTACTTCATACTTTCATATTCATGTAGAGATCAGATGATAGCAATCCTTTTAAAGTTCAGGTCACAACTCGTTAATGCGGCATGTCAATTTATCATTTTGGCTCTGTGACCTGATCTTTAGCATTTAATTTTTGGAAGTTATACATAAGGTGTTCCTTTTTTAGTCATCTTAAATGTCACTTTCATTAATATTCAGTTTGTCCTTGTACCTGTTAAAACCCATCATGGAAGCAACTGATTTCGGTCAATGACAACTCAAGTATAACCCAGAACTTATACTCTATAGTTTTCTTTTTTGAACTTAATTTGTTGGATTTAGGAATTAAGTGGCTTGATCATTTACAGTTATTTGTTGTTGACAAATACATCAACATGAGCAAAAATCCAAAAATAATGTTTCTCAAAACTCTCAAGTTCTTAAATTTCATGCATATTCTGCTATTCCAAGATCCTCTATAATGCTTCAGTATTATTTTGTGAGATCATTAAAATAATTGTGATTTAATGATCTCACAAAATAATACTGAAGCATTATAGAGGATCTTGCAATAGCAGAATGAAATTTAAGAACTTGAGAGTTTTGAAGAAACATTATTTTGAAACTAAACAATTCATCAGTATGTGATAGAAAAACCAAAGCAAGTCAATTCAGCATTTTTACAAGTGCCTATTAGAAACCGAGAGCACGTGTTTTTTTATATATATATTTATAATATAATAGTCTATTTTTACATCATACTGTACATTTTTTTTTTTCTCATCTCAATTGTAATCTCCGTGGGTTTCCCATCACCGAGTCACCCAAAGCACATGGTTTTTAATACTGGAAAGCAGATTTGAGGATAACATGAAATGGGCACTTGGGCCAGTTTAGTCTGAGGCAAAGTTAAAATAATAGCGTAAGTGTGAGTGTCTCTAGCCAGTTGTTGTTACCTTGTCAGACGTCTCAAATCTTTCTCATTGCTTTCTTTCAGGATTCTTTCTCCAGCGTGTTTCACATGGAGTATGAGGAATTAGAGAAATCATCAGACAGTCTAACAAGGTAAACAATGTGCTTGCAGTCCTTACCACAGTGTGCAGTGCTGTCCTGGTGACTTCATGGCCTGTGTAATCAGGACCTGCTAGATAGACAAAGGCTTCTGCCACACATCCACCTCCTGTCCCCCCCCCCCCATTTCATTTTATGTGAAATGCTTCCTCTTTGATGTTAAAGCTCCAGGGTGTTCCACGGCAGTCGCCCTTCAGGGACTTCTCTCAACACAGTGATGTTGAGATGCGTATGGGCCTGGGCAGGGGTTTTTGGCAACTGACTCAAAGGCCCACTCGTGCTAGTTTAAATTATATTTTTTCAGCACCTACTGGACCCTCAGTGGCAACTTGATCAGGTTATGAGTACACCCCTTTGTGAGTCTGGTTAGGGTTGGAGCCAGCCCCAGACATGCAACGCACTTGGGCAGGAAGCCGGAGGCTCTGCCTGATCCCATGGACATAACCCTGTGGCAGGAGCCCGGCAGAGCAACGCTGCGGCTCCTTTCTCCTAATGTTGAAGTGTGTATTCATTTACTGTTGTTTGGCACTTGGAAACACCTGAGGGATTAATCTGATAGTGGTTTGGGGTATTATTGCTCCAATTTTACGTGCTTCCTGAAGACTTCTGAAAAGGATTTAGAGTAAACTACTGAAAAGGATTTAGAGTAAACTAGCAAATAGTCTTTCTCAGGCTCCTCTTCTTACCCTTAACCCCAAATGAGTGGAGTTTGCATAAGTGACAGGCTCTCCTAAGGACCGAAAAGCATCAGAGACTCTTGGGTTCAGCGTTGTTTACCACGTGGTTCGTTGTTCATCTGTTTCAAATTATTTTTCTATTAATTATGGATGTTGTGACTCATCTTAACAAGATACTCTACTTCATATAACGCCCCATAGATTGTGGGATGAGAAAATGCTCTGAACATGACTCCTTTATATTGAAGTTCTAAAATATATTCACCATATTTGACCTATCAGAATTATTTCATGTAGGGACTCATTAGCACAACTGTCAACAATTAAGCATCTTGGTTGTGATGCTTTAAAAATAGCCTCCATGTAAATCTAGACTAGAACATAGCACAAGGTAGCCAGCCTGATTTCTTCGCAAATTGAGTGTTGTTGGATGAGAGGGAAGGAAGGACTGTTGCTGCCTGTGTGATAGGTGAATCATGATTAGAGTCTGGTTCAACCAAATAAAACAGTGAAGAAAAGTGGAAATTAGAACGTGAATTGAATAATAGGTGTAATGGGAAATTACTGTTATTCTTCTTTGAAATAGGTGAGTTGGATAATGTTTTTTAAGTTGTATTGATATATAATCAATTTATTATAAGGAATTGGCTAACTGTTTATTATAAGGAGATTTATTCCTTATTTATTATAAGGAATTGCTAACTGTTTATTGTTAGGAGATTCACACTTGGGTACTGAAGGATTAAATGTTGTAATGTCTGCATTTTCCTTTAAAGTGGTTCAGTCAAAGAGATAAAATTTCATCTTTTTAAGCAATTATGTTTGCAAATAAATGTATAGATAAGCAGATGGAGCAAACATTAAGCTTTGTTCTGTCTGGGAGGATGATACTCATTTTACTTTTAACTGTATTTTGACTTTTTGGTATATTTGGAAGATTCAAATACACACATCATAAAAAATTGGAAGAAAATGCTTGTTATAAAAACTTGGAAACAAAATGAAATGAAAACTGTATCTTTAGCTCATGCAAATTAGATCTGCCTGAGTTTGCAGCTGCAAGAACAAAACATCCCAGTGGACAGTCTGCTCAGTTCTGACCCCTTACACTGCAGGAGGCCCCTCGCTCTCCTGGACCCATCCGGCTCCCCTTCCCCTCTTCCCTGGCCTCACATTTCCTGTCTTTTCACATCTTCTGCCTGCCATCAAGGGGAAGCAGTGGTTGACAGAGTGACTTGATGTTATTAATTTGTTAAGTGACTTTATTTCAATCCGAACTCCATGATTTCTAGACTAGCGTTTTATTAACATGATGTGTGAAAGGTTGTGTCTCCTGCTGACAAGGGTTTTAGGAATGGGCTAAGGGGCACGAAGTAACTTGGAAGTGCCTGGGATTCAGAATGGCCCCTGACTTGGGCCTTGGCTGGGTGAGGTGGGTGGTCAGATAAACAGGCCTAAACCCGCAGGCTTTTCCCGCCAGCTGCAGGCTGTGTCACGTGCTGAAACTGCTTCGCTGGCCTTTGCTTCCCTCCCGCCCTTGCCGACAGGAGACAGAGCCTGTTCTTTCCCGAGCCCTGTGCCATTGTGCTTCCTGGCTTATTTGGCATTGCTGTCGGGGCGTGTGACCATGTGTGTGTCCGGAGTGTGTGTTTATTCCCTGAGTTGTGCCGCCTCCTCAGCTGCGAAGTGTCTCTTTTCAGGAGGTGTAGTGAGTGAATGACCTATGTTACTCTGGCTTTTGATGCTGTGTTGTTATTTTTGTTGCTTTTCAGACGCCATTTACTAGGGCGTCTAAATAAGACACATGTAAGACTTGATTGTTTTTACCTTTTGGCTTGGATGAATAATGAATTTTTATATGTAGAGCATGAATATTATACTTGTCTGTATACTGTCCGTGGATACTATACATAGCTATAGGACAGTAGGAAAATCGGTCTGCCAGTTCATATTGAAAAATTTAAAATGAGTCATCTGCACCTTACACTGGAATATCTACGGCCCAGCCTTTGTTTATTTATATTTTATGTCTTGTCATCTTTTTTTCAAATTAAGCCAGGACCTCTAAGTAGTGTTAGCTGAGCAAGCCCAGGGACTCGGTGCCATAGTGACCTCTGTTGGTGGATGTTCATGCAAAGCAGCAGCCACCGAGTGTTGACACTCTGCTTCTGATGAGTAGCATCTTCCTTCTGTGTAGGCTGAATGGAAGGTGGCATTCCGCGTATGATTTTTAGTCATTATAAAACAGTTGCAGTATGAAGACCTTTTTAAAGTAAGATTGATTCATAGAGGTGGGTACTGGAAGAGGCAAATGTATAACCCCTTATCGGAGAAAATCATTTCACCCTAATGGGTAAATGACTGGGTAAGCTACACAGTGTTTAATACTTTTCGGATGGCTTCAGGGCTGAATTGACAGTGTTTATGGAATTCGGGACCTTCCAGTTGTTACTATATACTTTACCAACGCATATGTTCTCCCACAAGATGAGAAGGAAGGCAGTTTGATGGTGTGAGCTGAAAGCAAGTCATTTCCTTTGGAGCAACTATTTACCCTTGAAAAGCACATCTCCTTTGGGATTCTCCCAAACAACCCACTAGTTGTCTTTTATAAATTAAAATAACATATTGAAGACAATCTTGAAATGTTAAATGTAAAACTAAAAAATATGGGGGGGTGACTGTCACACATAATTATTAGTATAATCACGTCACTGGTGGGATCAAGCACAGTTAAATTGTGGGGAGTGAGGTTGCCCAAGAATTTGAGAAGGGAAACTCATTTCCAGATAGTGGTGAATTATAAAGTTTCTTGCTTTAATTCAAAAAGCCACTTAATTACAGGGGACAACGTCATGTAAATTTTAAGATATGGATACTTCTGTGGTAAAATTCTACGTTAGTCAGCTTTGTTGATCTGTAGAAGCACATCTTTATGGTTAATGTGTGGATCTAATCCTTTACACTTAACTTTCTTGACGTATGTATTAATGAATGGTATTGATATTAGAAAACATAACTATAGTTAAATGTCATACCCACTACATTAAAAAATAAAGACTTGCATTGCTTTCAGAAATTGGATACAGACCAGAAGAATGTGGAGTCTGAAATCAGACTATTTGTATTAAAATTTAAGTTTCACCACTTACTGGCTTTAGGGCTTTGTGTGACTGATGTAATCGCAGAAAGCCTCCACGTGTTTATCTATGAAATGGGGAACAGGTAGTAAATTGTAGTCTGGATTGAGTGCAACGATATACATAAAATATTTCAGAAAACTTCCAGCACAAAATCAGTACTGAGTAAATGGGAGCATTTTTTTCTGGGTGCCTTCCACGTGTTTTTCTGGTTTAGGTTTCCACTTGGTGCCAAAATTGGTCCGTGTTGGTGTATTCCATGTCCAAATCTCCCCAGGGATGAAGGCCTCCACAGCTCCACTGGCAGTCCCAGTATCAAATGCTCTAGATATGTCCAAATTACTCCAGACGACCCAAGAAGCAGACAACAAGGCTGGATTAAACGTACAAGAATATATTGGGGCAAAGCCCCTGGGCAAGCAAAGAGGGCTGGAGAAGCTTCAGGCCAGCGTGAGAGGAGGGAAGCTGTGTGGAATGCCTGGGACAGCCAGACAGTCCTAAGGAAGGTTTGGCAAGGCTGTTGGAGCCCTGACAGGAGACTTGGCTGGAGAAGAATCCCGCGTCACCCAGAGGGGGACCTGCCTCAGTTTCTCTGAAGTTCCAAAACAGGAACAATGCGGGAGGCTTGTGCGTGTGGACACTCAGTGCTAGGCACAGCCGCCTAGACCCTGGCCACCTAAGCGTCCTGCGGTTGGCCCAGCGAGGGACACCATACCAGCCACCGTAGCAAGGCTCCCATAACCATGCTCTTCAGAGAATGGAAACCACCTTCCTTGCCCTGTTGCACTTTTAAAATCATCCAGCCTGTGTGTTCCAGCCTGGCATCTGCCCGAAGCCAGCATTTCATTCCCAACAGCCTGTAACACTTCACGTTTCCCAAATGCGTGTGCCACGCTTATGCCGCAGCCACGTGTTTGGCGCTGGGCGTTCCTTCCCCTGCCTGCAGTACCCTCTCTCCTCTTGCTCATGGCTTTCTTTGCATCCCTAGTTCTCTTCCAACCTTTTACACATTTCCTGAATGCCACTTCTTCGCCACCTCACTGGGGAGTACTGGGGAGGAAGGTTGCCCATGAATCATTACTTCCCTAGATGAAAACAGCCTACACGAGGTTACAGTGTTTCCTGTGAAGGGGTGCTCACAGCCCAGGGCCAGTGCTGGGGTTGGTATCTGCAGAGGCCCAGAGTCTGCAGCCTGTTTCCTCTGCATGTGTAGAGCTCTCTGCTCCCCTTCAGATTTAGGGATGCACCCTCCTCCCTACCGTACCCCTGTTTTGGAGGGCGGGATGGTGGGCAGGAGGAAGAGCAGGGAGTGACCAACTGTCTTAGATAGGGCTTCTGGAAATGGTCACGCTTCCTGTTACATCCTTTGTCTAGAGCTCAGTTGGGTGAACGTGCCCAGCCAGCTAAGGTGACGAAGAAACGGGGTCTTCATTATGTATCTAGGTGGAGAGAAGAGAGAGGAGTTTCGGGGGGATGTTTGCCGCATCTGCAGTTAGGGCTACCCACACCTTACCTCCAGTAACTGTGGTGATGCCGGCTCTGTGTCACATGTCTTCACTGCACTGTAGGGACTGTACACTTCTTATTCTTAGCACAGCAGCTGACTGACTTGTCTGTCTCCATGTAACCCTAAGGTGCCTCGCAGGTAGCCAGGTGCTCAGTCTGTATCTGAGTGCAGCAACTTCACTGTAGCTGCATGATTTACATAGGGTGAAATACCCCAGTGTGACAATACCGCGAATCTTTATTCAGTTGTCGTTCATTGAAGTCACCATCAGGAAAATTAAAAAATTGGAAATTAAAAAAATGAGGTTTGTTTGTTTAATGGGAATTTTAGAATCTCTTGTCTATTCCGTTGTAGGTTTAAATTTGTGGTGGCTGACAAGTTGGCTAAAACTCTTTGGGGTTTCATCTGGCTTCCCCTGTTAACATTAATGATGACGACAAGAGGAATAGGTCATATTTATCATCCTGGATGAAGTTGCGTACGAGGGTATCTTCAGTGTGTTTTTGGCTCTCCTTTCCTTTTGATTGTTTATGTTAGTGCGAGTATTTCCTGCTCTTTTTTTTTTTTTCCTTTAAATATCACACCGTGTATGGAGTAGTTGCCAGATTTAAAATGCTGTGACCACAAACCCTACAAACCACTCTCCTGAGAAGCAGTTGAGAAGCAGCTCGGATGAGAAATGATAGGAAAGACCCTGGAACTTCAAGGATTCAGAACAAGCGGACATTTAACCTGAGATACCTGTTTTATCCCCACTACCAGAGAATATAGGAAGTTTTCTTGATGAGAAGATCCATATTTTGTGTTTTGAATCCTGCACTGAGAGTAATTACATACCATCTGACATCAGATATATCTTGTATGTTAAACCCGTTAAGTAAAAAGTAGAGAGAAAGAGACTGGGAAATGTAATTTAAAAAAAAAGTTGGAGATGAAATTTCAATTAGAAAGTATCATAAAGGGTCTCAAAGAGAAAAAGGAAAAGGACTTAATAAAATTCTTCCAGGGCTGCTTGATTTGCCCTTGCTTTGAAGTATGTGAAAGGTTGTTGTATTGGGATGAATATAGGAAATAATTGAAGTAAAGCAGGCACTAGACTTTAGTCCTTATAATCTCAAAATCCCAATGGGAAAATAAAACACAGGGGAGTCATTGATAGGGATTTCATAACAAATAGGACAAAAATCATAATGCTCATTAACGGTGATAAGATGACATAAGACATTCAGAAACTTGGTGCAATACTTGCTATCGTTTGTTTTTTTTTTGAAAACATTTCAATTATCTTAACTACCGAAGTTGTGAGTCATCAGCACAACTAGAGGTTAATTGTCCAGTTACGGTATGCATTTGGCCCTGTCATCTGTGAGTGGTAAGATTCAATTGTAATCATTTAACTCCACCCGTTTTATTTTCACTGAACAGAAAGAACTCGTGTCTGTTACTTCCACAGGGAACGTGATGCCAGCAGAATCAATTACATCTATGCGCAGTATGTCAAAAACACTATGGAACCACTTAATATCCCAGATGTCAGTAAGGACCAAAGATTTCCCTGGACAGTAAGTGATCCACTTTTAAACTTGCAGCTTGAAGGCTTCGTTCCCATCAGATCAGCACTTACACTGACTCCTCAGCCGAGACCGGGCCCTGGAATTTCCTATTTTGGAGGTATCCTAGTTCTCCTTAAGCTCACGGAGGAGCATAAAATCATTTATAATGTCTACTGAGAGGTGGTCAGCTCTTGAATGCTACAGCAGTGTAACTATTAAGTTCTCAGTGTCAGTGGTGCTGATCCCCAGAAATGAAGTTCCATCTGTCTCGAACTTACGTAATTGGTACCCTGACCCAGGGAGTATCTGATTTACTTGACAGTAAAGTTTTTCAGAGTAGAAAACTTTGAAACCTAGAGCTTGCTCACAACTTTAGAAAAGCATTGCTCATTGGGGGAGCTGCCTTGATTTTGTCATTTGTGTATCTGGAAGACTTTGTAGAACATCAACAGTAGGGTCAATAGAAACTATAGAAGGACAGGTTTGCAATTCGCTGTCCGAGGTCCCCTGAGACTTTGTAATTCTACTCTTTTTAGGTACGTTGAAACATCTGCACAAATACAGTAGGTACTGAATAAATGCATTGATATTACTATAATCTTTGGAAAGTTTAAAAAGGGAGACTAGAAAGGTTATGGTTATTAATAATGTTAAAAAAAATTGCTTTCTACTATATGTGAACTTCATTATATGTGAGTTTTCTGCACTCTGATGTTATCTCCAGCTACTAAGACATGATTATACTAGAGGTTTCATATGCACAATATATTTTTCATAGCAGCTAATGGGCAATCAGTCTTCATAATTTTTAGTTGCTTTATTTTTGTTTTTGTTTAGAACGAGAACACAGGAAGTGTTAACCAGCAGTGCATTAGAAGTTTGCTTTGTACACCTATAAAAAATGGAAAGAAGAATAAAGTGATAGGTAAAGACTTTTCATTAACCTCTTCTTTGTGCTATTAAAGAGTAAAAAAACAAAAAATATTACCAGGAACTTTTTTCTCTCGTGTAAATTTAATGAATAATGTGTGCAAAAAAGATAAATGGAATAAGGATTTTGTGATGTTTACATTGGTAGTGTCAGTGGGCACTTGTTAAATACCTTTCTATGAAGTATTTTTGTAATTATCATTATCCCTTTTCAACAGAATTTTTAAGGATGATGTATACTGAAATATGAAGTTGATAATGTGTATACTTTAAAGATGTTTTCTGGTTTGTGATTTTTCTTTTTTGTTTGATTGAGGGTGGAGGTTACATTTACTCAAAAATGTATACTGTGGTACAACCCAGAGGTGCAGGGGTGGTGAGAGGATTCACCAGAGACAGAGTGGGGAGCAGAACAGGCCGACTGATCAAGTACACTGCTGAGGGGGCGCAGCAGGCGTGTCAGGAGAGGTCTGCTGCACCATGTGGGTCACCTACAGGGTGGGGATCGAACTCATACTGAAGTGGCTTTGGCTTCTCAGTGCTGTGCTTCAACCTGCTGCACTACCAGGGAGGCCCCAGGAGATGTCATTCTTAAAAGATTATAGAAAAATAGTTAAAAAACAAAAACAGTATTTTCTATGGTTGATTGATTCTTGGCATCGAAGTTTATGATTAAGAGTAAAACAGAAAATGCTGAGTGGTTTTATATGGCAGTTAGGCATGATTAACTCTGTGACAATAACAATAGTCTGAACTATTGACATTCCCCAAAAACTTGGAAATGAAGTAAGTAGGGTAAGCACCTTCTAAAGCCTTAGCTTTTAAACGAAAGCCCTACTAGAGTGAGACTCAACTGCAGACATTGACTTTGGAAAGTCTATAGTTTCCAGGTTTCAAGACTTGGTTGTAACATTATGAAAGCAGCGTATCAGTTCCAAAGGCGAGGAGGTGTCACGACACAGCACAGGGGGAGGCGTGAGAGTGCCGTCAATTCTGTGCCAGACTCAGAGCCCTTTACTGCTTAGACGAAGGGCACGTGCAGAGCTTGCTGGCAGTGACCTGACCACGCGGGTAGTGGCTGGTGATTTCTCGGGGATTCCCTCCCCTGTGATGGGGTGCATCCTTCCTGCAATATGTTACCCCTCTACACTTGCCACCAGTTTGCCTTTCCTGTTCTGATCATCGTTACTCCTGAGATGGGTTAACTTGCAGGAAGAGCGCATCCTCTTAGCTGTGTTCATTGGTTGGTTGCTGAGGCTCTGAGGTCCATCCCAGGGAGATGGGTCTGAACTTGGCGGGGAATCAAGGTCCGGCAGACTGGGGTGAGGGCCTGACCTCAGTGAGGGGCACCCATAAGCCAGCCCAGTGACTACCTGCTGGGCTGGGCCATGTGCCACGTTTAAAAACCTCGAGTTTTTAAAATTCTTTTTTATTGTCGACCAGCACTGTTCACTGTTGTACAGCCTTTGCTGCGCCCTCAGGTGTAGGCCCCAGTTCTCCCGCCACCAGCTCACCAGGGCTGTCAGCACAGACCTTTGCGCTCTTCCCTCCCCTGGTTTTTTTTTTTTTTTTTATGATTTTATTTGTGCATACAGAACTGGGGTACGGGCCAGAGGCTCAGAGATGGTGAGAGGCTTCACCAGAGACAGAGTGGGGAGCAGAACAGGCAGATCGATGAAGTACACTGCTGAGGGGAGCAGCGGGCGGGTCAGGAGAGGTCTGCCACTCCACGTGGTCACCTCAGGCGGGAATCGAACTCATGAGGAAGCGGCTTCAGATTCTCAGTGCTGTGCTTTAACCCGCTGCGCCACCAGTCCCTCCCCTGTTTTGACTGCTCCTGGTCTCCCCTCCCCCTGCTCTTTGTCTCAGATCTGTAATCAGCTAGTTGTATCTTACCTGTTGCTCAGTTTCTGCGTAGTCTACCTATAAGTGAAAGCATCAGATATTTTTCCTTCTCCATCTGGCTTATTTCACTGAGCACAGTCCCTTCCAGCTCCATCCATGTTGGCGCAAATGGCAGGAGTTTGGCATTTTTGATCCCTGAGTTGTGCTGCACAGTGTAGATACACTCCTGAGCTCTAACATAAGCTTTGGATGACACAGCATGACACCAGGAAACGTTGTTATGGAACTTTTTGCCCTAGGAAGTTCACGGGGAAAACTACATTATAAATGTTACCCTTTTTAAAAAATGCCTTTTGATCTCGCATAAAGATTTTCTGTGAACTGTCTTTGGCCTTTACACATTTCATGTCAGCCCCAGCATCGGCGCGTTATTTGCCAGAAAGTTCTCATCAGAAGGGGGCTAGAGACAGCCTGCCACTTCGAGTGGCATCTTCATTTCTGCCCAGCAGCATCTTTGGAATAATAATAACAATAACAATAATAATAATAAACAGTGGTGAGAGGCTTCGATGTCAGCTAAAAGGTGGTTTTCAGATTATCAAGAAACACCTAGTGAGGAAATGCCTCTCCCAGCAGCCTCTTGGCTTCACTCTTCCTTTAACCCACTTGATGGTTACAGGGCTGCTGTTCCCCTCTGTGGAAGTGAACTAAATACCCTTTCACATCTCTTCGGAATCCATGTTATTAAGTTCTGTCACAAGTGTGCCGAAAAAAAAGTAATCAGGCCTCTTTAGCATACATTTTATGTCACCATACTTGCTGAAGAGCTTAAGTAAGTCAGTGTTTTTGGAGATGACAAATTCCCTGTTTAAAAAAAAAAAAGGAAAAGAAAGTCCCTGTAAATAAATTCCCTGTGGAGAAAAAAGAAAGAAAAATTATTTTCCCATTGGGAATTTTTTGGGGGTGGAGGGGTGGGCTCCCCTTGATTCCAAGGCCCAGAGGGAACTTCCCAGTGTCCCTGCTGTTTTGTAAGTGTGTCAAAATGGAGAATTTGAATTCCTGACTCTGTTTCTGTACCCGCAGATGCAGCATGGAAAATATCAGGGTGGTAGATCATTTTTCTTCGATGTCACAGACCAGATTCTGTTAATTCATAATTCTTGTAGAGAATCCCTACTGAGTTACATGCAGAAAGAAAGACAGATGGGCCCATGTGTTTTTTGTAATTTTCCTTCTCCCTCACTTTTTCCATTACTGACATTCAGATGAAATTACAGACATTAGACGGGTGGGAGCCTGCTGTATCACCACACGCATCCTCCGCTGTGTCGTCCCCTATCAGATGTTCTCCTGATGCTCTGACCTAACGCACAGCACGTCCAGCACCGCTTCCAGCACGACTGAGGAGATGTTTCCTTATTTAATGTCCATTTATTCTCACCGATTAGTTCCCCCATTCATTAGGCTGACCCTGTCTCCCATATCGTATTTCCCAGAAACTATTCCGAAGCTATTTCCCATGCCAATTTCAGGACAGATTTTGAACAAATTAGTGTCATCCCATCCAAACAAAAATCCTTGAGGACATCTCCATTTCTAAGTGATGTTTCCATTGTCCAC